GGACGTGGGTGGGGAGGGCTATGGGGCAGGGGGTTGAGTTTGGGGGCCAGGGAGGAGGGCTATGGGGCAGAGGGTGGAGTTATAGGGCAGAAGGTGGAGTTGGGGAGACTGGCGCAGGGGGCTCTGGGGCAGAACGTGAGGCTGTGGGCAGGGGGTTATGGGGCAGAGGGTGAAGTGGGGGGACTGGGGTAGATTACTATGGGGCAGAAAGTGGAGTTGGGGGCTGGGGCAGGAGGCTATGGGGCAGAGGGAGGAGTTGAATGTCTGGAGCAGGAGGCTATGGGGCAGAGGGAGGAGTTGAATGTCTGGAGCAGGAGGCTATGGGGCAGAGGGAGGAGTTGAATGTCTGGAGCAGGAGGCTATGGGGCAGAGGGAGGAGTTGAATGTCTGGAGCAGGAGGCTATGGGGCAGAGGGAGGAGTGGGGGGCTGGGGAAGAAGGCTATGGGGCAGAGGGAGGAGTTGAATGTCTGGGGCAGGAGGCTATGGGGCAGAGGGAGGAGTGGGGGGCTGGGGAAGAAGGCTGTGGGGCAGAGGGAGGAGTTGAATGTCTGGGGCAGGAGGCTATGGGGCAGAGGGTGGAGTTTGGGGGCTGGGGCTGACGTAGGACTGGAGACTGGGAGGGCGGGGCTGTGAAAATGGGGCTTGTTCCCTGAGCGGGGCCATCTCAGTCTGTGCCAGCAGGTGGCGCTGCAGGATCAGTAATGTGGCACCTCGGGGGCGGGGCTAAACGCATCTGTGGGCGGAGCCTCGCGGGGCTAGGGGCGGGATATGACAATGAGCTGTCTCACGCGAGGGAGCGAGGCACAAGAGCCAGTCCCCAGCCCAGGAGTTAGGGACCGTCGCAAAAGCAGGAAACGTGACAGAGAGCCCTGGCTGTACCCGGAGACCTTGAGGGAAGCTCCGCCAGGAGCTCTGCTTGGACCTGGGTGACTCAGGGTAGCATCCGGGGTGCACTGCCCCCCTGAACCTCGGCCAAAATGTTGCTAAATGGGGTGCCCCCTCATGCCCCTCCCTGTTCCTCCAGGTGCCCCCCTGCACTCTCCCCCGCACAGGCACGAGTCGCCTATGCCTGCCCACGTGACAGTGCTGCGGCATTTACTCTTTCCGTCCCTCTGGGCCCGCTGCAAACATGCCTAAGAACAGAAGAGCTGCCAGACTGGGTCAGGCCAATGGTCCATCTCCCCCAGTGTCCTGTCTGCCCACAGCGGCCAGTGCCAGGTGCCCCAGAGGGAGTGAACAGAACAGGGAATCCTCCAGTGATCCCTCCTGTCACCCATTTCCAGCCTCTAAGAAGCAAAATCTAGGGACACCATCCCTACCCATCCTCCATGAATTTATCTAGCTCTTTTTTGAACCCTGTGAAAGGCTTGGCCTTCACATCATCCTCTGGCGAGGAGTTCCGCAGATTGACAGTGTGCTGTGTGAAGAAAAACTTCCTTTAGTTTGTTTTAAGCTGGCTACCTATTGATTTCATTGGATGACTCCTAATTCTTATGTTCTGGGAACAAGTGAGTAACTTTTCCTTACTCACTTTCTCCACTCCAGCCCTTACTCGCTTTCCCCTTTTTTCTAAGCTGAGAAGTCCCAGTCTTTTTAATCCCGCTTCATGTTTCCTGCCTCCACTAACAGGCAAAGACGGGGTCCCCACATGCTTCTCTTTTGATCCGAGCTGCTTCTAATGAAAAATCATCAGCTGCTCCTTTTTCTCAGAGAGAAGCCAGCTGGCCCTACAAGTGCTGTGAGGACACACACCGCACTAGCCGGCTGAAGGCAGACCGGGTGTTTTTTTCGTGTACACCAGGCCGTGAAACAAATCTGCTGTCTCGAAGTAAAATAAATAGTTCAGCACCCTCAAAGCTGCGCGATGAAGCCGCAGGGTGCAGAAGTTCACTGCAAAGATAACAAAGGCAGGCGACCGCCGGCACCATCGAAGGAAAAACATTTCACAAAAATAGACACGTCCCAGGCTGACGCTGCGGCTATGTCTGGAGCGATTTTAATGGATGAGTTATAAACCCCTCTACAGTCAAGCCTTGTAATGGAAAAAGTGACACAGCCTGAATTCTGTGCGGTGCAGTGGTAGGAGCAGACCGGCACCCACCGGCTATACAGACAGGAGAGACCAAGGGGAAAAATGACCCACGTGTTATGAAACTTTATTTGTTGATCATAAAAGCTGGGTTGTTTTTACAAAAGTAATGAGTGTGAAAGCTGCATGAGTGAGACAGTGCTGCCTAGTGGCTGGATTGGAACTCAGGAAGCCTGGATGCTATTCTTGGCTCTGACACTGGCCTGCTGGATAACCTTGGGCAAATCACTGCCCTCCCCATCTGTGCCTCAGTTTCCCCTATCTCTAAAATGACCTCTCCTCTTTTGTAAAGTGCCTTCTGATCTACTGATGAAGAGCTAAGGGTTAGTAGTGCTCGACATTGGGATCTGTCAGGGATGATCTAGATCAGGGGTGGGGAACCTAAGGCCTGGGGCCAACTGTGGCCCCTGGCTTGCCTGATTCTGGCTCCCAAGGCTCAGGGTTCCCCTTCCAGCATTGGGGAGCCTGCGCTGGTGCTCCAGCTCCCGCACTTCTCACTTGTGTGCGGCCCCCAACTGATTTTTCTGTGGGACAGCGGCCCCCGGCCCATAAAAGTTCCCCACCCCAATCGAGACGGTATTTGGTCCTGCCGTGAGGGCAGGGGACTGGACTCGATGACCTCGCAAGGTCCCTTCCAGTTGTAGGGTTCTATGAGGTTTCAAATCTTACTCGGACAGGATGACAGTGATGTGCATGCATGTATCCCCGCTCGGCCCGAGGAAGGGCGTGACGGTGGCATTTATTCATGGTGGCCCTCCACACAGGCACGGCCAGCGCCCACAGAGGGCAAAACGCTGGCTGCCTTGGGAGACAGAGGCAGAAATTTTGGGAGTGGCTGAGATATTCCAAGTCTCAAAGGGGGAGCCGCATTAGTCTGTATTTGCAAAAACAACGAGGAGTCCCGTGGCACCGTGCATCTGACAAAGTGGTTTTTACCCATGAGAGCTTGTGCCCAAATAAATCTGGTGCCACAGGACTCCTTGAGATATTCCCAAGAGCCCAGGGCGAACGAGAAAAGGGCACGCAGATGAGTTCAGGCGGTGTGCAGGGCCTTGACCCCGAAGGAGGAGCACTCGCTGGCTCATGGCATTGATTAAAAGCAGGCGTGCGCTCGTGACAACCCTGCAAAAGAAGGCGCCAACTCCTTACTGGGGAAACTGAAGAGTCAACTCCCGGACGTTCTGGTTCTGTTAGTACAGGGCATCCCCGCTAGACATCCGAGATAGGTTCCAAAAAACGTGGCTGTGCAGCGCAACGGCATAAAGCGGGGAATGTTTTCCCCACGGCTGACTTCCATTTGCGCAAATTGGGGTGGGTTTTTGTGCGACGTGAGAACAGGGAACGGGAGGCGTCAGCGGTGTTAGTGCGGATCCGAGGGATACCGGGACGCCTTGTACCAAACAAATTCTAACTGACTCTTGTGCAGCACTTCCGGTGGTGTGAATACAAGTAACCAATCCGCCTGTTCATTCCTTAAATAACAGTAGTAAAACGGTGCCGGTTAGGAGTTTGTCGTGGATGCTGGGCTAGGTTCTGCTCTGTTACACCACTGCCACTCTGGGTTACAGAGCAGATTTTGGTCTGTTAACCTGTTAATTCTCCCCCCCACCCCCACCACCCTCCTTAGTAGGCAGTGAGTTTCATGCCGCCGAGACTGGATTTAAGACAGTGCCCCTGGAAGAATGCCGTTCCCCCAGCAGGCACAGCCGAGGTCAGCCATCTTGCATCCTACCCAAAAGCTTTCGTCAGACTTCTCATGCCAGTTTGCAAACGGCTAATCGAATAGGGCGAGGAGTCATTCGCCGGCACGGTTCAGTCCCATCCAATCGGGAGGGCCGGGCGCTCTCCTCGGGGACGTTCACTTTAATAAGGACCATTTAATTTGCTCTTTGGCAGATTGCAGAACCTATTAAGGAGGAGGGGGGAGGGAAAGGAGAAGGAAAACAGAGAGCCATTAAGCCCCACCGCCTCCAGGATTCTGCACACGGATCACAACTCGCTACAGACTCAGCGGGACGCCTTCACAGGCGCCAGGAGACCCATTTGGTGCCAGCATCCACCTGCCTGGTCCTAAGAGAGGGAGGTTTCGGATGGTCTGGGTGAAACCAGCAGGGAGGTTTGAGTCCTGATTTCCCCCAAGCAGCCGCTAGGTGGCAGATGTGCCTTTTTGATACAGGTGGCACCTGCGTGCAAACTCCAGCCAAGCAGGTGAATTGGCTCCTTTGGCCTGGGCATTTCTACAGCTCCCTCCATCCCTGGAGGGGTACAGAAGGCTCCCAGAGGCTTGGAGATGCCCCTGGCTCTCAAGAGCCCCCAGGCATCTCCCTGGGCTCAGAGCCCCAAAAGACACAGCAGTTGCGCAATGGCAGGGGGAAGGGGCCCTTCTCTCACCCTCCCTCCAGCTGCAGCGGGAGCCAGCAATGCCAGGACATCAGGGATGTCTGGGATCCCCGGCCTGGGCTCCACTGACATCCTGGACCGTGGTCACCGATCAGCTGGTGCCGCCCTCCCATCGGAGTTTGGAGCTAGAGTGGGATCCTGAAAAGAACTCGTGGACCGGGCATCCTCCGGCCAGCAGACCTTCACAGCGCAGCGTGCGCACCGCAGCTCAGGGGGGCCGCTGCCTGGCACTGAACTTGAACCCCCCCATCCCCAGCACACTCCCTGATCCACAGTAGAGGGGGGACTTTTTCGAGGAGCAAAGACATCAGGGCCAGTGGGAACTGGCGGGAGCCCCAGACACCTCACAGGACACCCCAAGTGCTGGTCACCCTGGCTATACGTGGGAATCGCACGCCACGGGGTGCGGTTAGCAGCCGGCAAAGGGAATCAATCCAGCCGGGACCTCGACAACTGTCAAAGAACCCGCGCAACTTCCCGGAACTCCAGTCACGGGGAAACGTCCTTTTTTGCTCCCCTTTCCCCGGTCTCAAATGGCCCAGCCCTCCTGGCCCCCTGGCGATTTGTATGTTTTGGAGGGGGGAGCATGCTAAGCCGCCTGGGGGAGGGGAATTAGTACAGCAGATTAGTACAGGCCCTAGGAGGGGGAGGAGGAACGGACACAAGCAGCAGAGCAGACTCCGGGGCAAGTGAGGGGAGGAAGGGGTTAAGTGAAGGGGCCGCTGGGAGGGCCCGCGGGGCCAGTCACTTACTCTGCCCTGTGCGAGGAGGTAGTTAGTGCAGGGTGAGACAGACTCAGCCCCCAGGCTCATGTGGACTAGGCGAGACAGAAAAACCTGCAAGGAGAGCGGGCATGAGGGGCCCCGCGAGGTTTGAGCTGCTGCCCCCCAGGCCGACCCTGCCCTGCCAGCAGCCTGGGGACAGACAGGACGACAGACACCCAGGCACCTGGCATGTGATGCACGGCGCCTGCCCAGACAGCATGTACAAGAGTGGGTGGTGAAGGCCAGCTGGGGAAGGCATGTCCAAGCCCCGCCCCTTCTGCCCGAAGCCACACCCCTTCCCTTGAGACCACGCCTCTTCAACAACCTCCCCCCAGCCAATCCCTGCCCAACTCCAGCCCCAGCCGTCCTGGGCAGTGCAGGCAGGTTTGGGAAGGCAACACCTCCCCTTGCCTGCAGTACCCACTACCCACGGCAGAGGCACAACCTGCCTCCAAGCCCCCCCATGCCCCTTCTGAGCGGCGGTTTGGTCCAACGGCTCACAGACCTGCTGCAGGCGCTCAGGTGCGTTGTCACACGAGCAAAACCTGGGGGGGGCGCCCGAGGTCCGGGCATAGCACATTTCTGGCCCAAACTTCTCCCGATCCTCCCCCCCAAGTGCTGCCTAGCGGTGAGAGCAGGGGGACGTGGGAGTCCGATGTCTAGAGGGAGGCGGGTGTCGGCTGGGGGGTTAGATTATCACAGGCCCGGCGAGTTCCTCTCCTGCAGGGGACGCGCTGCGTGAAGCGGGCTAACTCACCTCCCTTCCCTTCTCCGCGCCGCCCTGTCCGTACATAAGCCCAGTGGGGGAGGCAGCGAAGGTCCCTTGGCCACCCTGAGGGATACGGACCCGTTGCTGGGAGCGGGGCCTGGGGAGCGAAACGCTGAGCGCGGGGGTGAGCCGATGCTCCGGCTACTCAGGGGCCTGGGCGCAGACAGCCCCCGGGATAGAACCCCCCAGCAGTCGGTGCCGCAGGGCCCGGGACTCCAGAATACTCGGCGCTCTTCCTTGGGCCGCCCAACCTTGCCTGGGTACAAGCGCAGCGCAGGCCACGTGGCCAGGCCCCCTCCACTGCCCCGGGGAGGAAGGGGGAGCGCTGGGGCCCTTACCTGGGCGACGCTTTGCTCAGACAGAGGGCTGACGTCCACCTAAAGGGAGGCAGAGGACAGGGAGGGTCAGGGGGGAGCAGGCCGGAGAGGGGAGTGAGTGTGGGGTGGATCAGACAGGGCCCAGCAGGTCAGAGGGGGGCGAGCACGCGGGCAGGGGGCGCAGCTCCACGTGGGGGCTGGGATCATGCAGTGGGCGTTCGTGGGGCACGTAAC